ACGATTTCATTGATCATCCATGTTGTGATCAGCTGACAAGAAAGTGTGATGTTATGCTGAGTGCCCCACTGACTGGCTGTCTGCTACTGTCACACCACTGCCTCGACACAGGCAGGTCAACACTGACTTTTACTCAATTACCACATTACAGCAGCATACACATTAGTAGAGAGAAACCGAGACATGAGACCTAGCAGCCAGTCACCAGCTCCACACACACACGATGATCATGACTCGACTGACTTGACTGTTACCAGACAGACCCGTTTTACAGAACAGAAAAGTGCACGCTACATGATTACATAACTGAACGTGACAGTAATACAGTACACATAATACTATAACGTGACCTAAGCGATAACGACATAATGCAACCTGAGTGAATGACACACATACACACTCAGTTGCTTGAGTTCACCACAGCTACACACAAACCAGTCAGCATGAACCTACTTTTTGACACGACTACAAACACAGGGATGGCTTGAAGCGCCAAAAAGGAACAGACACATCCAGGTAGCATAGCTGCTTCATGTGAGCATATCAGTTGCATCGTTGTTGGAGACACTACGCATACACCCTGCTTCAGGTAGGAGCAGCCCATTATATAGCTTCTGCTTTCAACAGTTCTACAACACCCAGGAGCCAACGTCAACCACCAAAACAATGGTTGAGGTTTTTGGTTGTCAAAATCACATATTTTTTCCTACGTGCATCTCTGCACACGACATGTGCACAAGTGCCAGTTTTGTGTGGTTGATGTCATGCGGGAAGTCAGGGTCTGAGTTCCCGTTTGACAAATCCTTACGAAACAACAGATAGTTTCCCAGGGATACATATTTCAGTTAGTGGACCGGGCTCCATTACTTCCAGGGTTTAGTCCCTGTGATTGTACTCCAGGCAGGAGGGAGTGGCAACACCCTCCTCTCACCCAATCAATATTTTGCCACCCTACACATGGTTCCTCCCCTCCAATTACTCACACAGTGATTGGCAATCACTGTGTGGGTAATTCGAGGGGAGGAACCAAGTGTAGGGTGGCAAAGTATTATTTGGTCACAATGGCAGCCCAGACAACAACTACTCAGATAATGCTACACTAGATAATTATCCAATGCTTGTCTCTTTCATAATGTTATAAACACTTCGTATTAGCTATGATGGTCTCTATTATTCTGTAATATCAACACAGAAAGGAGGCACGGCCTTGCTCAGTGCAGGATGGAAAGGTCACTCAGAGGTGGTGAAACTACTGCTAGGAGCTGGGGCCAGAGACATTCCTACTAAGGTAGACCACTGAGTCACTATGAAAAGCACTGAAGTGCAAACCCTCGGCGCATTGTGTCGCGCATGCGTGAGTAAACGCATGCGCTGTATCACTAATTGATGGGCCGGGTTTAGTTCAGCCATCTCGCGCAGTCTGACGCGGGCTAACTACACTACTAGACAGCATGCGAGAGGCGATACACGCCCTGCGTTGCATCTTCTGGTGCCTCCGAGGTCGCAGAGCACGCTGATCGATCAGACCGCGGTAAGCCATCCCGTCCGTTGCGTATTTGCATATTGGCTTTTTCATGCTCTAGCTTTGCAACGGAACATTTTGAGAGAAAACCGTCTTTATTTTCTGACCTTCGTCGCCCTTTGGGTAGATGGTATCGTTTCTGGGACGAACAGACGTTCGAGGAGTGAGATATAGAGGAGCAGACAAACAGACAAACAGACAGACAGACAGACAGACACCCAACTACTGTACCCTGGCTGCGCATGCGCGCCGAGGGTAATGATGTGTAGGAAGAGTGTCCTCATGAACCACAGGGTGTACATAGACACAAGTGTGTGTCAGACCGATTCTAAGACTTTTTTAAAAGGAAAGAGAGGTATCCCGGGTGGGTCCCGAACCAACGACACTGTTCTCTACCTATGGGGCAGCTCATGAGGCAGTGCTTAACCAAACGTTAATAGTTTTTTTAATGAAGATTGTCCACATATGCACATTGTCTTTACGAAAGCACAGTTTACCATTGCACGAAAGTACTCTGTTCATGCAAAATCGCTATAGAGGGCTGGGTAGCTACTACCAAACAGTTCCCTTCTGTTTGCGTAATGATGCATAATTATTATAATCTGACACACGTCTAATGTACGTCTTAATGTACGTCTATTTGTCTCTACAGTTTGGAAACACTGCTCTGAGCAAGGCCAGAGCCAACAACCACAATGATGTGTTACAGTATCTACTGCAACACAAGCCAAACTGAAAAGTAGACACTCTAGCACTGTTACAAGCACATATAGTTTTTACACTGCATATCTTTTACATAAGAAAATACTTTAGGCTGTTTAAAATAAGATGTATATAGATGCAACATTTCACAATCCTTCTTCTGCAAAATTCCCTCAATTATTTCAATGTTATTATCTCTTATAATGTCCATGAAGACCCATAGTCATGAAAGAACCTGATGCCAATGGCAAATGCATGCACAGAACTGGTTTCACAAGAGCTTGGGGCAAAAAGTAGTTTATCAGCGTCTCAGAAGGAAATTCAGCTGGTGGAAATGTCTCAATGCATGTGTTGCTACTGAACATGAAGCAGCTATGCTACCTGGATGTGTCTGTTCCAGTAACCCCAAGTAAGCAGTGATCTGAGTATGGAGTGTTGCTGCGTGAGGGTCTGTTGGGCTTCTTCACAAGACCTTTCTCTTTCTAACCCAAGCTTCCTTCATGGCACCTGTCTCACTCTAGCATCAGTGGCACATCCAGTAACAAAATTTGTGAATGCCAACAGGGGATTTATCCGTAGCCCAGGCCCAGTTGTCATTAGTTGATGCAGGATAGGGAATTATTCTGACTCACATGACGTGACATTGTGGTTATACTATTGCAACGATGGGTGGGTGTATATACTCTTCCCGGAATGCAAGGGCCAGCCCAGCAGGATATCGGGGAGAGGCCTCTTTGCCTCTTTGTCTAACTGGTGGAGTTGGGAAGTTGGCGTATTAGAACAAATTTGCAGTGAGTTAGTTAGATACAGCACGTTATAGACATAGCGCTCAGAACTTTACCATCTTAGGTGTGTATAACCGTTCTATAATGCAGTGGGATACGTAGGACCGCTAGCGGTACGTGGACCCACCCTAGGTCTAGCCACTGTGCGCTATCACAGGCGGTGCACGGGCGATGGTGTTTTAGTGCTAAAACCCTGCAGATGGGTATCTGCAAATCCTCGTGATGCTCGCGCTCGTGGCGTGACTACGCCGGACTATGCCAAGGGAGAGAGGGAGCATTGTAAACTGTTTCCGCCATGCCAATATACCGCGCGTGCATGTGCGCGCTCCCACACCAAACACAAAAGGGTAATCAGCAAGCCAGGGATGGCAAGATAATTAGCCCAGCTATGTTATTATCACTCACCTGAGCCTCATAGCTACAAGTATAATACGTCAACTTTGTACTTATGGCATAGCAACTTCCTTTATCAACCTCCGCAGTTTTCTGGAAAAACAGCGAGTGTTGACAGTGGCAGCAAGGCCAGGTAGCAGAAAGCCAGTAGAAGATAGGCTGGGTTGCTTCTCTTTTGACTGTGAGGTTTAGTACAACTGTCATAAAGCTTTATTATACGCTGTCATGGTGTGTTTAAAGAATGTGTGGTTTCTGCATTTATAATTAAATGACAGCTATTGTCTGTTGAGGATGTACGGAGCAACAGGTGGACCATGGCTCTCTTCGGATGAGTTTGTGAAGGTTGAAAAAAACGAAATTAATGGTGGGTTATAGCTACCTGTGCCTTTCACATATCACATGATGTACTATACCTCCTAGCTACAGAAACAGATGACCCAGGGAAAGGCAAAGATGCTCAAAAACAATTTTGCATACGTGAGTATGTGTATAATGACTATTCTGGCAATTAAGTCTTTTTTGACACAGGAAAGCAGGCAATACTGGTCATTATAATTTATTCTCAATTGCTTTTATAACTGTAAGTGTGGTAGGGCTAACAGTGTGCTCCAAGTATGTCTGGGCCCCTCTCCACGACTTATCATCTCCTCGTGATGTCCAACAATGTGAAGGAAACGTGCCAATTCTTGCTGAGTATGACTCATTCTTTGTGAAGGAATTCAATGTCAATCAACTAGTTAAAAGTGATCTCTACGATTCTCTTCACACAGTGTTTGTCTTCCTCTCAAATACTGCTTGCAGTAACCTGCCAATTGTTGTAACAACCGAAAGATACAATGAGACTTCTCAGCCCCCTTATGGTCCCGTGTACATGCTGGAAAATTCTATCATCTCACTCAACGTCTGTGCTAGTACAGAAAGCCCTGATAATGATCCTCTTATTCTCTACATACTTAAGACTGTCGAGAAATTTCTTAATTTCGACCCGAAACATCCATCTAAAGAGTACTATCGAAAGCATATTCTAGTGGGGAACAATGGCTTTACAAACTGTACTAACATATCTCTGGTGCTCTCGCAAAGTGACTACTACACAATAAACTTCTTGCTACCAAAGGGTATCACTCTCATGTACAATATTACTGAGAACATCAAACAGATAGACGTTGATGCTGTCAATACCACACTTTTAGGAACCTTTAAGTCCAGTAATAGTGACCAAACGATTAGGGATAGAGTTAAACTCGGAACTGGACAACACTGTCTGTTTGTTGATATCCGAACTAGCAGTAATGCCACATCTCGACACTACACCACTCTAGAAATACAGGCAAAGCCTCGTGTTGACGCTGGTGTTGGAATTACCACAAGTGCACTACTTGTATTTTTTGTTGTGGTCTTGTTGTGCGAAGTATTGGTTTACGTTTCTGTTAGAAAATTAGTGTCTTACTGTAAACAGCGGGGATATAAACCACTGACAAGTATTAATGAGGATTGATCTCTTTTTTTGTGGTAACCTTGTGCTAATATAAAACATGCTTATTATTTTTGTACAAAAATATGTTATCAGGAATGTGGAAAAAAACAGCCTCCATTTTGATCCAAACCGTAAGGACTGTAGACACAGGATTTGGGTTAGTAAAAATGGTGTTTCACTAACCACAGACCTTGTGTTATGAATATCGTCAAACGACTACTATTCAGAGGTCCACAAGTTGTGACGCTCACTTTCAATCTCTCTCAGTGGAGATAAAACAGATCATGCTATAAAGGGCACAATACTAGGGTCCATTTACCCCGACAGTGATGACCAAACAATTGGTATATAAATGAAAAGCACTGAAGTGCAAACCCTCGGCGCACTGTGAAGCGCACGCGTAAGTAAACGCATGCGCCGTACCACTAATTGATGGGCTGGGTTTATTTTAGCTGTTACTCGTGGTCTCTTGCCAGCTAGCTCGCGCAGAGTCTGACGCGGGCTAACTACACTACTAGATAGCATGCGAGAGGCGATACACGCCCTGCGTTGCATCTTCTGGTGCCTCCGAAGTATATACGCAGAGCACGACCGCTGAAAGCCATCCCGTCCGTTGCGTATTTGCATATAAGCCTTTTCGCGCTCTAGCTTTGCAACGGAGCATTTTCAGAGAAAACCGCCTTTATTTTCTGACCTTCGTCGCCCGTTGGGTAGATGGTATCGTTTCTGGGACGAACAGACGTTCGAGGAGTGAGATGTAGACTAACAGACAGACAAACAGACAGACAGACAAACCCAATGAAAAGCACTGAAGTTAGTGCAAACCCTCGGCGGCGCATTGTGACGCGCGCGCGTATGTAAACGCATGCGCCGTACCACCAATTGATGGGCTGGGTTTAGTTTTAGCTGTTACTCGTGGTCTCTTGCCAGCTCGCGCATAGTCTGACGCGGGCTAACTACACTACTAGATAGTATGCGAGAGGCCCTGCGTTGCACCTTCTGGTGCCTCCGAAGTACGCAGAGCACGCGGATCGATCCGACTGTGGTAAGCCATCCCGTCCGTTGCTTCAATCAGGACCGGACAACACTGTCTATTTGCCGACATTGTGTATATATATAACACATGACTACAGTTTCTTGAAATACATGTAGAGCCTCGTCTCGATGCTGGTATTGGAATATCGCTATAGCTAACGGTGTCTTTTCTTCTGATTTTACCTATTGCAATCCTGCTAGTATTGGAGGTTATTCTGTACTAATCTTTTAAATGTGGAGCTAAATTGTCGACCACAGAATCATAGCCTGAGAGGTGAATAAATTTTTTTTATAGCAGTGTGTATCTCTTAATTTTTTGAGCTGTATCCTTAATTATTTGGAATACACGTGTGGTCAATTATAATTACACTGGAAGATATATGAACAAGAGTTTTGAAGATTGTGGCCACAGGTCCAGTGGTTCAGTGGCAAGGTGTGTCGATCGGAGCCAGGGTCTGCCGTGGGGCAAGGCTCAAGGATGAGGCTACACCTGGTAGTTATGAGAATCCAAGCTTATCCACTGGATCACAGGGTGTGTTCATAATCTGAAAAAAAAAGTTTGGTATGAATGATAACTAAAGTGCAGTCAAAAGAGGGATATATCATCAGCGTAGGTCGCTTTTGGTGCGCATGCGCCAAAAATGGGTGGGTACGTACAAGCACAACAACAAAGCATGACGGAGGTTCCCGAGATCTACGCCTTGCGGCGGAACCACGATGATATTGTCGGGGCCATGTCGCACGACTTGGACTACTTCAAGCGCATGTTCGTGCAGGCAGGTTTCATACGGTCACCCAACGCCAGTGACATCATGGGTCTACTAGGGGTACCCGCCTCCGAGAAGGCGGGGCAGCTCCTCGAGTCACTCCTGACCCAAATCTCCGAGTCTACGCCTCAGGAAACGCGGCAGCAGAAGTTTCACAAGTTTGTTCAAATGCTAATGAGAGAGGCGTCTACGGAAGATCTCGGCAACAGAATTCTGCACAGTTATGGTATGTGGGTGGGGCTGGCTAAGCAATACATAATCACAGCAATTTATTGCTTCTCCCATCTTTTAGCGATAATATATTTGTGATAATACAAATTGTCATTACAGAGAATCCAGAAACAGCACCTGTGTGGAAAAGACATGCAACTAGAATCTGTGGATCACACACATTATACTGGACTATTGGAGTCGGCATAGCAGCCATAGCAATTGGAATATACTTCACACGCATCAGTCAAGAGAATCGACAGGGTAGGTAGCGGAACCTCTGATAAGAGACTCTCTGAGATAGGGACGGCCTTTCTACAAGGGACACTTGTTCCGCATGCTAATACTTTTAGTGTATTACCGTATTTGGTCTCTGAGCCTCAACCTCTGTACAAGGGACAAAATCATTGGCCTCATAGTGTCTTTTGTTAGTAGGCTCTACTGTAATTATTTTTGTTGCCTACAACTTAATATATACACAATGACTTCGTTTCAATTATCTCTCATTGCCAAAACAGCAGAAAGACGCTGTGCCAAGCTCCACTCTGAGAACATGAACACTTGTCTTGAACTGGGGGAGAACTTTGGCGTCAAGCAGGAGGTGTTGGATACCTACAGAGACAGTGGGAAAATGCCAGAGGAAGTTTGTCTGGAGCTGTTAGACATGTGGCAGAAGGCTGGGCAGGTCAGCTCCCAGGACATTGAGAGTTTGTCAATGGCCGGAATACTGGGGATTCAAAAGGAGCTGGCAGCAAAGGAGATGAAGGCAGACATTAGGAAACGTTTTGCAGAGAGCAGGAAGAATAACCCTGCTTGCTATGACAATGAGTAAAAACACACTGACATGAGTTTTTACTATTATTTTGTATCAGTACATTATGCATTGCTAGTCCGAATTTTTTCACGTCCTTACGGTCAATATGGACATAATTATATAGCAGTCAGTGTGAAGTGACGACTAACTTCCACGGCAGTTGAATAATACGCACGGTGAATGCTGCTATTGCGTTACGTAACTTTACAGTTATCTAACAACGGTGGAATGCAAATCTCCACCCACAATCACATGACGGTGTAAACTGACGCTGTCACATGACTTCTGCAGCGACGACGACTTTAGCAAGTCGACCTCGCCTGCCACGAGGCAGTGCAGTATGTTAGAAGCTAGTAGAATGTCAGAGACACGGACAAGTCCCCCGTGTAGCTGTCACTAGGTGGCTGGACCGGCCCCAGCCAACCAGCGACGCCTCCAGAGTCTCGGTTGTTTTCCACGCCCTCTCTCTCGACCGCAGACCAGGGAGTAGACATGTCGCTGCCTCCTCTGGACATGGTGACAGGACTAGCTGCCAAGCTCATCGGCAGCATATCAGGCAGACGGAGCCCAGTACCGAGGGAGAACGCGTGAGTCGTTTATGCTAGCTGCAGTTTTTGTTGTCTGTTTGCTCCAGGATTGATATTCCGTTCAGAGCTGTACGTGGTTCATGTTCTGCATGCCATATACACAGCCCGGGATCGACGTCCTTGTTTTAGTCGCGAAGTACCTGCTATTATACTGGCAGACGACGTGGCGATTGCACCGAATACCTGCACGTAATGCAGCGACGTACTAACACGCCCATGCAAGCACTTGGTACCGCTCCATAAACGACTAATCAGCCCCTTCCATCAGTAGTGATATTGGTAGGGAGTAACGTGATATCAGTCAGAAGGTAATTCAGCAGTGAAAGTGTAGGCAGCAGTGACCAGAGTGAACCCATGCCACCAGAGGTTGTAAGGTGCAGGTTCACTACTCAGTCTGAGATCAGTAGTAGAGAGTGTATGTAGTTTACTACCTTAAATTATTCATATCAGAGCTGCTCTGATCTTGCAATGAGTGACGATGAGCTCCATCCATCTGTACCTCCACGTTCTGTAGACGCGTGTCTTTGTATGTCCTCGGTTTTTGCTGTTAGAGTGCATGTCTTTGTACCAGACTACAAGCTCACATGCGCTGTTCAGCTGATGTATTATAGACTGTGTGGATAATTCAGTGCATTATTTATCACTACATGAAGATCTGTTGCACTTTTTCTGGCTTGTGCATGGCTTTGAATGGCCTCCACATTACCTCTGTGTTCTGTCTCTGATGCTCACTGCTAGTGCAGCTATAGTGGTGTAGCTACCACTGGCTAGCAAATAACCACCACCGTGTCGATGTGTGTGGTCCTTGTTCATTTGTGGCATGATGTGTGGGTGCTGTTTGGTCGTTTTATGTACATGTAAGTAGGCTTTTTTGCATGTAATGTGGGCTGTTTGGTCATTTTTGTCATGTAATGTGGGCCGATTAGGTCGTTTTGCATGTGATATCGGCTGTTTGGTGTTCATTTTGCATGACTAGTAATGTGGTCTTAGTTGTCTAGGTTTTTTGGCCACCACTCATCCATTCTTGGCAAAATCCTGTTATTTCTACTAGCTAGATATGAAGTGTGCATATTGACTCACATGGTATTTTCTCCATGTTGACTCTATACATGTACTATGTGTGTACGTCATATAAGGAAAGGTTTGCATGAGGTCCTGAAACATGTGACTGCATGAACATCAAGTGCACCTTCTGCCAAGTGTTTGTGCTAGTAGGCGTCTGTATACATCTCCAACTGCTGTCAGTCTGCCCTTCTTTGCTGCTTATAGAGACACTACCCAGAGACTAGCAAATGTCAGCAACGAGGTAGAAAGGCAATGCAAAGCCTGCACGTGTTTTCAAAACCTACACCTCCATCATAATGTGTGATCGTTACTGCCTGCTTCTCTATTGCACACCGGCACTAGCAGTGGATGTAAACCCCTTCACCATTTCATGTCAGTTGGTGTATTATTATCTGTCACTGCCCAGAAACTGCACATTGCATTTCACATTTCCATATGTCTGCAAAAGCTGCGTCTGCACAATAATAATTATGTGGTCATTACTGCACACTCTTCTTTCTGTATTGCAAGCACTAGCAGTGGATTATTTTTTTCAAAAATGCTTCCTTTTTCCCATTCGATATCCATCTGTTGTGTGTTGATATGTAAAATTTCCATTTCCTATCTTCCAAGATTACTGGCTGTCAGGGTGTTAGCTGCATTCCATAACCTTCTTGATGTCATTGTTTGGTAGACTCTATTGTCCATGTCTGGTCAGAGCCTGACTGCAGTAATGCTTCTAGACCTGCTGCTGATTGCATAACTGTTGACACAGGCACTAATATAGCCCTTGTGTCAGAGACTGGTATGGAATTTGCAATACCCAATGGCTTCATCTTATATCCCAGCATCTACAATCTACAATCTACAATCTACAATCTACAATCTACACTACAATAATAACAAACCTGGCTCTGCCCATAGTGCAGTTCAGAGCTCTGTTTGTATCTCTGCCCATGTTTTACACTGTTAGGATCTGCCATAGCATAATTATATTGTACATTGCATAGTAATGGGGATAATACTAGCAAAGCAAGGTGAACGAAGTTTCACATATTTTTCTATAAATGTACAGAAGTATTATTCAACAAAGCATGCTACAACTAGCTACACCTATTGATATCTTAATTGCACTCTTTGGATGTGACATGCGGTGCTCTCGCCTCCCTATGCAACTCTAGCAGTATTAGTTAATTACCTGTCAGATTATGTGTGTGAGGTTGCAGTCACATGACCTAATAATGAGGTGAGGTGGCACTTACTGTGTGGGCAGTGTGCATGCTGCTTACTGGCACGTTATGCAATGTTAGGTTACAGATGCGCTAGATTAATAAGATTACTTCGTTGCTGTTATTAACTTACTTTCTATGGCTTGCCGTATGTAATTAACCTCTGAAGAAGAACAACTGATAAAGGACGTATATATGTTCACACTTTGAGGTCCAAAACATTCACATTTCCATTATTCTGTTAACGGGCAACCTCCCTAGTCCCAACATGTCCATTAGTGGAAAGTTGAAGTGTATGTATAAATACAGTGCAACCTTCGAATACACTCCTGTAAATCCTCCCGCCCTACTCCATATCACGTACATGTATGCAATGCCAGTAATGCCATCTTACATGTCATATTATGTGTAGACGTGTACCTGTACCAATTAAACATGGAGAAACAGAAAGCAATTAAAATGCATGCAGGATAATTGGCTCTATGTTCATGGATATGTACAGCCATATTTGTAGGTGGATAGAGGTTAGCATGTGACTAAAGAACTTTCACATCTGACATTCCTCAGTCAGTCACTCACAATCATCCTAGGTACATATGACAACATTAGGATGTGTCATGTGACTTGTGCTACATCATAATGTATGTACTACCATTTGTACATACAGACTTGAGAATCATCTGCCCTGCAAGATTGGATGCCTTTGTGTCTCTGTGTAACAATTGACATAACTAAGCTGAATATTTTGACCGAGGTTTTGTTTGTTGCTTGGTTACTTGGTGGCAGTAAACAACTGTTGGTAAAGTAGCGGTCATTAGTGCTACGCCATCCTCAGTATGTTGAGGGTGGTTGCTCAACCAACTGTGAACAAAGGCCAGGCATGCATGCAGTCCTGCAATCCTTAGCTAGCAATCTACAGGTGGTGGGGTCATGTGCTGTCTGTCACTACTGCATACCAATCTTTAGCACATGTACAGCTGCATGTATAGTACTGTGGTGAGCCATGTTCATACCTGATGTATACATTGATGAATTCCATATAGTGCAGGGCATGTGACATGTTATGTGGGTGTGTTATAACTTTGAATCTAAGGGAAAAGGGTTTCACTGACCTTTTGTAGTACCACGTGTCCAGCTACATGTGCACAGCATGTGCATTTAGTGCAGCCCTGGTGTATGTATATGAAACTTAACTCTGTTCTTCTGAGGTATATATATAAAGGAAAACATGCTGTGGTGTGTAATAATTTATATATTATGCAGTGTAATAATGTGCTAGGTATCTAGGGAGATTGTTCAACTGTTTACTACTGCGCGTTGGACATGCAACAAATATTGTGCTGATGATGAGAGATGTAAAGTAGCCGTTCCCACCGTTTTACATTTTTGCTTGTAGTCTGTCATCAAACACACAACTTGATGCTGGCAAGGCAACCGAGTGTCATGTGACCTTTACCTGTAGTAATAACATGCATGAATCATAAATGAGGTATGAAAACCTGGCAAGTTCAAAGCCAAATGCATGCATGGAGAAACCGTGAGCTATACATACACAGTATATAGCTTCCTGTGTCCAATATTGGGACAGCCTCAGGAGTATAGCACGTGGTTTGCATGTACCCCTCTCCGAGGCTATTATAGCCAGTCTGGTAGTAGTCATGTGACACTCTGATTGGTGCTCCTAGTCATGGGACTGTGACACTCTGATTTGTGCTCCTAATCATGTGAGTTCTGCACTATAGTGTACTGCACCCGTACCTTGCTCCATAGTCATGTGACACTCTGATTGGTTCTCCTGGTCATGTGACTTTCATTTCATTATGCACTATAGTGTACTGCACCGTACCTTGCTCCATAGTCATGTGACACTCTGATTGGTTCTCCTGGTCATGTGACTTTCATTTCATTATGCACTATAGTGTACTGCACAGTACCTTGCTCCATAGTCATGTGACACTCTGATTGGTTCTCCTGGTCATGTGACTTTCATTTCATTATGCACTATAGTGTACTGCACAGTACCTTGCTCCATAGTCATGTGACACTCTGATTGGTTCTCCTGGTCATGTGACTTTCATTTCATTATGCACTATAGTGTACTGCACCGTACCTTGCTCCATAGTCATGTGACACTCTGATTGGTTCTCCTGGTCATGTGACTTTCATTTCATTATGCACTATAGTGTACTGCGCAGCACCTTGCTCCATAGTCATGTGGCCCTCTGATTGGTTCTCCTGGTCATGTGACTTTCATTTCATTATGCACTATAGTGTACTGCACAGTACCTTGCTCCATAGTCATGTGGCCCTCTGATTGGTTCTCCTGGTCATGTGACTTTCATTTCATTATGCACTATAGTGTACTGCACAGTACCTTGCTCCATAGTCATGTGGCCCTCTGATTGGTTCTCCTGGTCATGTGACTTTCATTTCATTATGCACTATAGTGTACTGCACCGTACCTTGCTCCATAGTCATGTGGCCCTCTGATTGGTTCTCCTGGTCATGTGACTTTCATTTCATTATGCACTATAGTGTACTGCACAGTACCTTGCTCCATAGTCATGTGGCCCTCTGATTGGTTCTCCTGGTCATGTGACTTTCATTTCATTATGCACTATAGTGTACTGCACAGTACCTTGCTCCATAGTCATGTGGCCCTCTGATTGGTTCTCCTGGTCATGTGACTTTCATTTCATTATGCACTATAGTGTACTGCACAGTACCTTGCTCCATAGTCATGTGACCTCTGATGGTTCTCCTGGTCATGTGACTTTCATTTCATTATGCACTATAGTGTACTGCACAGTACCTTGCTCCATAGTCATGTGGCCCTCTGATTGGTTCTCCTGGTCATGTGACTTTCATTTCATTATGCACTATAGTGTACTGCACAGCACCTTGCTCCATAGTCATGTGACACTCAGTATAATAGAGTGTTTGCTGAAGGGACTGAAATACCAGGAAGTCTTGTGAGGTGTCATTCTCACCCTTACATCTGTATGTACACTGACATTCCACTCTGTAGCTATACACATGTATATATACATTGACATGTAGTATACAGTATGTACTGTAGTGATGAATGTTGTAGTGAATGGTCATGTGATGTTGTGGAAGCCAAAGGAATGTGTACACATCAAGTCACTGGCTCCTTGGAACTTGTATATACATTGTACATCTAATGAGTAACCAGTAGAATAAACAGTACAGGTCTTTGCCGTAGTCTTTGTATTATACATGGCTTAATTGGTACATACTATGTACATGTATGTGCAGCAATGGGATGCACTGTGTAGGCCAATAGTGAAGGGTTGTCAAATTACAGATTGCATACACATTATAATCACTACTGTAATGCATGATACACACATGTAACTCATGTGGAGGCGGGTTGGCTGGTGTAGTAGCTCATGTTTAGCCACAGTGCTATTCGAAGAACATGCAGAAACAGGTTGAAAGAGAGATTTGGGGCTTGTCTCCATTTCCTTGTAGGAAGCTGGTACACAACTACAGTCCAGTATTGAAACATGTGGGGAATTTTGGGTTGTGTTTTCTCAGCACCATGTGACAGCCATTGTTTATGAGCCTCATACGACTGCAGTCTGTCCTAACATGGAATGGTGCTAATATAAGTCATGTGATACGTATGCCACGAATACCAACGTCGATATTGCAGTTCACATGTTCTAGCAATTCCTTGGTAATATGGCTTAATTCAATTTCTGTGCTCTTTCCATTCGCTACGTTGTTTGTCTAAACCAGTTGTACCCATGATTTGAATGCATACTTAGATACTCCACAATTAGAAGCAATTACTGTACCAACTCCCTTTTACTTCGTATACTGTGATCAACACAGCCTGTCAAGTGTACATATATAGCATTGGTCAGTTAAAGGGAATGTGTCAGTATAAACAATAGGGCCCAGTGCAAGAATGCAATTAAATTTCCATTTTCAGTATCAGGTTATAAATTTATAGCCTGTATAGTTCTATATTTAGTAACACTTCTAAATTTAGCCCTTATCTACTGCTACATTCCCTTTAAACACTATGTATGCACCTCTATAAGTACTGCTCTGAGCCCAATTTTTCCCTTTACAACGTGTATATTGCATGTTTGTTATAATTACGCACTAGAAATGATAATATTAGCATCACATGTTCTCCCGTTGCTTTGTCTGATCTGTATTCGGGATTCATGTGAAAGAAGGCGGAATTCCGTGGCTAATGATATTCACGAGGTCACATGGCCATGATTATCGCAGACTGCACAAGTGGCACCACGGGTCATGTGGTTTTGCCATAACCATTGCTGTCACGTTGTACCTTCCACACTTTGAACACACGGTGTCTTTGTTCATTGTGGCTAACCTTGGCTTCCGTCAAACACACACGTGCCCCATGTTTACGCTGCACACTACAATGCCTGGTCTACGGTTGCACCTGCCACGTTCAGTCCAAACAGACAAATGTGAAAACTATTCTACGAGTATCAGGTATCGCAATAATTCTCTGCAATATTTTGCTATGGTCAATGTGTTGCATGTTGTTAATTCAGCTTCACTTCCTCTCATTTGCTTGAAAAAAGTACGAAAGCTAGGGCAACTTATTATCCACAGTGAAGTTTTCGTTGCATTCTACTGCTACATGGAAGTTTTCTTGCTTCATAATAGTTCAAAAACTATCAACATTACTTAGATACAACAAATTTCACTGCAATCTATTGCTATAATCAATGTGTAATAGATGGTCGATTCAGCTGTGCTTCCTTTAATATGCTTGAAAAAAGTACAAAAACTAGGGCACCTTATTATCCACAGTGAAGTTTTCGTTGCATTCTACTGCTACATGGAAGTTTTCTTGCTTCATAATAGTTCATAAACTATCGACATTACTTAGATACAACAATCTATTGCTGTAATCAATGTGTAATAGGTGGTCGATTAAGCTGTGAGGCGACAGACAACTTGCCCCGAAATCGTAATACCAGCTTCCGTCTAACACACGTGCTACTAATGTTTACACACTCACATACCGCACACTAAGACTGCATACTCATCTAGATGTACACACATTACAGTGTGTTTGAAGGTCAAGTAGTGTAAGTTTCATGAGTGTCATGTCTAAGAGGTTGTTGTGCACTGAAAGAAGAGGATATTGTAATGTGCAGTGTATGTGACTGTATATGCTGTCTGCCTATGAATGGTGCAGAACACTTGTGTCAACTTCCTCCACTTGAGACTCTTGGTCTTCCTCCCCTCCTCCCGTCATTCCCCCCTTCTGCTTATTCTTTCTCAATCACCCCATCTGATCTACATTTAATTAATTGTTCTCTCTCATTTTTCTCTCTTCCTTCCCCTTACCCTTCCATCTCATCTCCTCTTCTTTCTTTTGATTCTCTCTCTCTCTCTCCTCTCTCCCCCCCTCCCCCTGATCTCCCCAGAGCCCAGGAACGACATGCCAAGGCCCTCCTCCACCCACAGGGGTACAACGTCCCAGAGCTGTCGGAGGAGAAGGTCAGAGTCGTCGTGTATAGAGACGAGAGAGGAGTCAAGACTTCCGTCTTTGACTCCCAGATTCACTGCATCTCTCTGGAGGATGGAGACAAGGTGGGCCTCGGAATTTGCTGTGGAATGTTGGCACGTTGATTCAAATGTGTTTTTGGCGAGCAAATGTTTTTAGTGGAAACCTTTAACGCGTATTTACAGAAATAGGTAAAGTATTGCCATGTTGTCGACAGTGCACTACCATCTCATGTCTGTGTGTTCATTTTTTCAACGTTGCACAATTCTGACGGCCGGCTGGGTAGGCTTGCTTCACTCACCAATTATGCAGTGTTACGTAACTTTGACATAATTATGTAAGTCACTAGGCAAAGGCAAAGCAAGCAACACTAGTATAAACCATGGACAATTCCTCATTATACAGAATAAATATTTAAAAAAAATAATGACTCTATTTGTTCATGTGATATACACTGCATGGGCTCTTAATGCTCTCCATCATTTTCCATTCTCAACTATTGTATTATGTATACATCTGCTAATTACAGGAGCCCCTCGTTACCAAGTCGCTAGGAGACAGCACCATTCGTCCGTGTTGCCGGAGTCGAGGTGGTGGTTTGACTGACTCAACGGTGTCCGAAGGATGGAGAAATAGATTCTCTAAAACTGCAGTAAGACTACGAAATTATACTATTATATGGAGTATTATATTGTGGAGTTGTAGCCTATTGTTTTGCTGTTGTGTAGCTTGATGTACTGATGCAACGCAGTTGGGCAAATTTGTTGTTTGAAAGGAGAGTCATTTACAATATCCTATTCTTTCAGTGCACATCACATAATTATATAGAACACCACTTAATAGAGAGAGAGAGAGAAGAAGAGCATGAGGGGAATATACAAAGACAATCTGTACAAACAAGAATACACATCCAAAGAGCAATTATGTCTGCAGCCTCAACAGCTTAGAAAAATATTTTATCAGCCTCTCTGGTTTATAGATAATAGTCAGCGCATGTCAGTTTGTAAAATATTGAAGACAAGCACTAAGGCAGACAGTCAACATGCCCAGTCTTCAGAACCAGGAATGGGGTTTCATGTACATCGTAACTCACACATTTCACGAGGATCTTGTCTCACACACATCATGTGACTGCATGATGTCATTTATCTGTCTCCAGCCTGCAGACTCGGAGCTGCTGGGAGAGATGATGTTTGGGTCAATGCCAATGAAGGTGGCTGGAAACACAGTCAAGATACACTACGTCAGGTCAGCCACTCTCTCTATCAGTACTGTGGTGTACTTACATACATACAACTTAGTTTATAGGATGACACAGGTTATTCTGCATTGTTCCGTGATTAAAACCTTTAACATTTATTACATGCATAGCTGCCCAACCCACTTTATACATACACTATAATGTAGCTGGTGCTTATAGTGTCCATACATACAGTTAGAGCTCTCTCCATGTGGTGTACAGTAGTACATGTGTACATTGGTGTTCTCATTTGGACAACTTGTTTCCAAACGAGTTTTGAAGCAGTGAGAGACTGCTCTTGTTCAAGCTGCTACAACTCCTGTATCAGCCCTGTAACCTGTCCAAATCTGCACGTTAAACCAACTCCTATTTAACAAATAGATATCTTTTCCCCCTCCTTCCACATCTTCGTCACAGGTCCACAGATCAGCTCCTTCTCACCAAGGTGTTCTACCTCCAGAGACGTGCCCCGGCCCAGTGCAGTCTCAGTACAGAGGTGGTGGTCGACTCGTGTCCGCAGGAGGGAGAGGGGAAGACGTCGTTCATCCTCAGTGTCACCAGACCTCCTGGACCTCCAGGTTAGTATGTACAATCCAGTCCCTTGTATCAGTGTACATATATACCAATGCATGTACAATGTACTATGTACTGTATGTATGTTGCAGTGATCCAGAGTAAGAGGACCAGGAGTTTAATGATGCCGCGATCTACACCAGCCAGTCGCTCCCTCCACTCCCTCCCCCCTCACCTCTCACCCTCCCCCTCATCCCCCGCCTACTCCCCTCCCTCTCCTCACACACTATCCATCTCCTCCAGCTACACCAGAAGGTACACTCTAACATGTAACATGACAGAATACGTTTTCTGACAGTCAGAAATGCAATGTTTCACTCTCCATTATCTCTTTCTCTCTCTCTCTCTTGGCAGGAAAAACAGGTCCAGAGCCACGTCACTAGAAGTTGGGTCTGAACTATATCGTAAGGTCCTCAAACCTCTTGACAGGGTGAGTACAATACAACAGAACCACTTTAGTAAAACTGTTTGACATTACTACTTACATTTCAAAGAGTGCGGAAAGCTCACATACCTTGCCTTGCCTTTCTACCAAGTTGTTGAGACATGTATATACATATACATGTAGCAGTGCTCCATGGACTTGCTTGCATTCACACACTTTAACCCCCTGCATTCGTTCCGTACCTGTTAATTGTATAAGCTTGAAATGAGTGACCTTGTATCTAATATGCAATGACATCTTCTTCACTCTCCCTCACCCGTGGCCACCAGCCTCCCCGCAGAGGTAGAAAGTACGCCATGGGAGTGATTGTCACCCTCAGCGAGATGAGTCATCTCCACATCAATCACTTCAAAGATTTCATCTTCTCCCACTTCACTCTAATTGACGCCCACCTGGAGCGACTGAAGGATGGGATGGAGGAGGCCCTCCTGACGAGGCCGAGCCTCAGAGACAGAACTTCCTCTCCAGAGCTGCCAAGGTCAGACTCCACTCTAGTCTCCACGCCCTGCTTCTTTCTGATGAGTCTTGTACACCACATATCCCCCATAAAAGTTTCACTCGCCTCACCCTCCCCATCATCTCCCCTCCCTCCCCCCTCAACTCCTCCCCCACACAGGCCTACCAGTCATTTCTGGGGGACCTGCTGTCACTGTACAGGTGTCGGAGGATCCACAGCCCGGTGTGGCTAGGTCTGGTGAGCCAGCAGAGCAGACGACGTGAGATATGTCTCCAGTTTACCGAGGAGCTGGGCAGCATTGTGGCTGAGATTGACACCAAGGACACCAAACAGTCAGTAGTACTGCACATAATGCCTATGTAGTATGTACACTTTGCTGTTTAGTCAGTCAAACAGTCGTGGTACATACAACAGTAGACAACTGCACGTGTGCTGTAGTGTTCCGTTTACATCATGCATGCTGTAGTTTGAAACAGTCAGTTTCTTCTCCATGTGAAAGCGTGAGCCGTTTAATTTTCATGGTTGTTATCAAAGTCTAAACATGTACGTCGTATTGCCAAATCGAACATTTTGTAAGGGCCTATGTACATGTATGTATGTTTGTTACATGTATACATTTCAGGACAGTTAGTAAGCTGTAAGTTCATGCTCACATAATGACATTGCTAACGACTGTATTGACTTTGAGAATGATCTACAGACTCAATACCATCCCACAATATGTAATGTACAGACTACACTGTTAGTAATTTCCATCCCTCTGCAGTTTCTTCTCCACTCTACTGACGGCAGTTCTGTCCCATCACCTGGCCTGGGTCTACACCGTCTCTCGTACCAACGACGCCCGACATGCTCGCAACAGCAAATCGGTCAGTTTAACCTTTCACCCACTGTCAATTCACTTCTCATGCAAAGACATATATACACATTCCATGCATATCAATTCTGCTCATGCACTTTTTAAAAGTGCCATATAATAATTATTATGATTGTGCCATTTCCCCTCAGTTGGCAGTATTGGCAGAGTCTCATCCTTACAACCCTCTCTGGGCACAACTTGGGTGAGTCAAGTTTCTTTGGAAGGAAAGTAAAAATACAATACAGTATAGTGATTCAAGGCTAAGATTACAGTAACTGTGCACGTGTACTATTACGACATAAAGTACAGCTAACATAGAGCCAAAGACTGGGTGTAATTGTGTTTTGCATGAGAGCGCACACAATTATACAGACGGAAGAGAAGTGAAGAAGAAAACTACTATAAGGGATTACTGTACTTCAATTAATGCAGCGATTTTTGTGTGAAGTCATAATATTTCCTTTAAGTTTCATTTGATCTTTACTTGTCGTGCTAATTTGTATGTGATGTTGGTGTGTGTTTGTGTGAACAGGGACATGTTTGGAGCAGTGACTCAGCCTCTGAAGGTGACACGGACGGTCGTAACTGGCCAGTCCTACACCTTGGTCTGTCGTCTTCTCTACCTCCTCACCTACTTCATCAGGTCAGCTAGCGTCTCTCTCTTCCACCTTCTTTGAGGAAGAAACTTAACTCTATGGATATGGCTTATGAATAAGTCAGGGAAGAAAGAAAGTGGTTGCAAAAAGGAAAAACATTGATTCGGCAGCAAAGGATAGTACTAGCTACTAGCTCTAAAACCACTGACTACGTAAATATCTCTTGTTTTGAAAGTGCCCAGCTTAGGAACCCTACGTATGATCGCAATAGAGTTGTCTTATCACGTCACCGTTGTAGTAGGTACAAGTTTCACTTGGTCTCACTACAGATGTTCAGAGATCCAGCCTGGTGTAGTTGGTGCCATGGACAGCCAAACTGGTACTCACGGTGTCTGCCCCACTATCAGGTACACTTACTAATATACACCGCCCTGTCACTGTTACTAGTGAGCAAGAGAGAGCCAACGTAGTGCTACAGTATGTAATAGTCAATAGTCACTCCAAATGAAAGATGTACCTCCTTATACTTGTGTGTATGTGTAAGGAGTATCCACAACTTGCTTATCCCAGAATGTCCTTTATTTTACTCTCACTGTTTTAAAGTACATAATAAGTACGTCCATGTAAGTGTGTTTTTTACATTGGCGTGATTATACTGTTCTAAGCTTCCTCCCTCTCTATCTATGTATGTACATGTATCTCAGTGGCCCAGATCCCCAGAAGGTGCCTCCCTCCTCCTCCTCATCCTCCTCCATTGGACACCTCCCCGTTCTCGAGGATAGCGGAGACATGTTTGAGAGCCGGGCGTCGTCGGCGGTAACCATGTGCCCCTCCCCCGCTGTTGCCACGGGAACTCCGCTGGTCCGGACACACCCATTCAGCTTCCGTTCCCCGGTCCCTTCTACCCCTGAATTTCGCTCCCATGACAGCAGGTCTGACTATTACCACTGTCTTATATACATATTGACTATGTACTGTACGTGTATAGTACAGCTTTACGTGTCTAGAGGTTTTCCTAAGGGCACCAGTTCGTTCAGCGTACTACTATCTCTTCTACTTGTCTTCGTGCCTAGAAAGCGACTATTACACAATTATTTATAACTAATTTTTTCGTAAGGACAAAAGTTTTTCTTTTTATTCCTCGAATTTGGAGAATGATGTGACAATATTAGGCTCCAGTACGCATGCTAAAAATGCGTGGCATTCGTTCTGATATGTTTACAAGCCTCTTGTCTTCCTCCTCATAGTCACGACCTCCATCGCAGTGCCAGTGGAAGTGTGGATGTCTCTGACATGCACGGCACCTGGAGGTCAGGCAGCAGCAGTGCGGACGCCGCGTCTCTCACAGGCAGCCGCACCCCTCGCAAGGGCACCTCGGAGTCCCTCGACTCCACACACTCCCACCACGCCACCCCGAGGAGACTGGGGTACGGAGTAGGCTCCTCCGCGGGGTCGTGGAACTCCAACTCCAACCAAGAGATCAGCAAGCATCGCTCCTCCTCCTCCAACATCGACACCGTCCCTGGAGCGGCGAGAACTCTCAGAGACCGTGAGAACCCAGGGTTGGGCGAGTCTCCTCTTGCTGCACTCTCCATCCCTTCATACTCGCCCGGGAAAAGGTTTGAAGCCAGCGATACCCAGAGCTGTTCCAGCGACATGGAGCGACAGTTTGAAGAAGATGATATCGTGAACTCTGACCCCACGATGTTGGAGGAGGACGACGGCGTGTCACGGTTGTTGCCCGCGGCAACCAGAAAAACAAAGCGGGAAAAGACGTGGGAGTACAAGAGGTCGCCTGACATGTGTGCGTCGCTCGCGCCGCTGGAGAGTATGGGAATGTGTCGTGTAGATATGGACCACGTGACGTTTGATGTGACTAGAAACTACGCTGGTGAGGCTTCCCCGCCCTCCACTGGAGACGAAGATGGGGGGAGCCCCTCCCGAATTGAGTCGTTTGACAGTCTCTCTGATCTCGCCGGAAACTCCAACACCTTTTCGCGAAACGGATCTTCAAACTGGATTGGTGTTGCAACCGGCGGTGTCACTAGCATTGCACACTCCACACACCCTCCCTCTTTCTCCTCTTCCTCCTTCCCCCACCACCGCTCACACCCTCACGTGCAGCACACCTCACACCCACATCATCCTAGCCCCACCCACCACTGCGGGAGCATCGACAGTGGCTATAGCAACGACAACTCCATCGACATCTCGTCTCTCACCGAGAGTTCGCACACCGGTATGAACGACAGTCTCTTCACAGGTCCCCGATTCTCGATAGGTCTCAGCGCACGGCACCACTGTAATCCCGAACACTCTAACATATTCATGAGACCTTCGGGGCAATTTTCGCCTGATTCTACGACACCGGTAGCGAGAGAAGGCCAAGTGGAGCTGACGATACAGACGGACGACGCGAGTCTCCGCGATGAGCTGGAGAAGACGGCGATGAAACGGCAAGAGAGCGATGCCAGCTACGTCTCTTCAACGGCGGTCCGACCCCCGACAACGCAACGCAGCGACACTCTCGATTCAAGCACCACGCCGGTGTGGCCTGGTGGAGAGGGAGGGAGTGAGGGGAGGAGATGAAGACTGTGAGAATAGAGACACACTCACTCGTAGGAAGCGGTCGGGGGCCTTTAGCTACCACTCCAGCCGTACTAGTGTAGGCGACTCATCGACGCTCGATTCTCGGGAGGGCAGGGGCACTACTGAGAGGGAGGGGAGGGGTGGGGAGGAGGTGAGGAGATTAGCAAGGGAGCGAGGGAGACAGGTCTCTGGGAGAACAGAGGGAGGCGAAGAAGACGACGTTTTCGGACACGGGTCAAAGTTTGGTGAGAGTGACGCAACGACCGAAGGGGCGAGAGATGATGTAATGTGTGTTGGAGATGATGTTCCGGAAGTGAGGGTCAGTTGTAGTTCTCCGCCACATCTGGACTCGTGTTGGGTCCCTGGCTGCAGTGATGAGGAGGAACTCCCTTTCATTTGCTCTGATACCTGCCCTGTGAGTGTTTCTATCACACTTTAAAACAAGGCACGGTTTCTTTTCCATTTATGGCACTTTTTAAGACATGTAGTACAGTCCCAGCCTTATCCTTGTTAATGAGTGTAGTCTTATGTACACATGTACATGACATCATAGTTAACTCAATATGCGCTTGCCTTGCGATCACACCCCGTAATTCATACATGATGCTTGCCCTCGGTGTGTTTAAAGGTGTAACTACTGTTTTTGTTGAAACTTAAGAGCGTTGGTTCGGGTATTGGTGCCTTCTTCAACCTGAAATAAAGTGTTCCTGCAGACATCTTTCTCCGGCCTGTGTATGCACAGACGCGTGCCCCACTAACTCCACTCTCTTGTGCATGTGCGGGCGAGAGAGAGAGAGAGAGAGAGAGAGAGGGAAAGGGTCTGTGGGCTACACCAGACTTTTGCCCCAAATGGGAAAGCATTCTAATGCGGCTACATGTTTCTGCAGAGATGTACACCTTCTGGAAGAAATAGTACAGAGACCTCTAACCTCCTCTCCTCCCCCTCCTCCCCCTCCTCTTCCCAGATGGACCTCCCAGACAGCCCCCACCTCCCTCCATCCATGGCCCTGGGAGTCCCAGACGAAGTGGACGTTGAGGAGAGTCTGTCTCCAGTCAGTATGAGTGTCCTGAAGGAACAGAGGAGTCTGCTGGCACAGAGACTGCAGGACACGTCTCTCAGGACGCATGCCGGTCTCCCTTCAACCCCTCTCATCGACTTTTCTGAACTCAACATGCCCAGGTACAGCTCATATGCTGCCACTATTTAGACTGTGGGAAACAGAATGACCAAAATCACATTGCTTACGGAATGTGGAGTATATATCTCAGGGATCTTGGCCTTCTATATCATGTGCTCGCAGTATAGCAACTGTATAATCCTGACTTTGTATAACGCAGAGTGTCCACTGTATAATGTGTAAAGTAATTAACTCGCCAAAAGGTTAAAAGTTCAAAATGTTCACTTGTATATATTTCTTGACTTGCATCGCTTAAATGGCATGCTAAAAATAGTTGTGCCACGCTAGCTAGCGCTGACTTGGAAGGCGTTACAGTTATTGCACGCATGCATAATTCTGCATACGTGGAGAAATCGCGCAGTTATACACATGGTGTGTAAGGAATGCAAAACTTGACCGTAAATTACATTTTGTTGGTGTGATATACGTAATCCTCCTCTCTCCTCCGTTGCTGCAGTCTTGAGGAGTTCCATCTGGCAGAGCAGGATACCGAGGCCTTGACCTCTGACCCCCTGGGAGGATGCTCCGCCCACACTCACACCCAGCCTGTACAGGACTTTGGCCACTCCCTCTTTGCTGGGTACATTGTTTACACACATATATATTATGTTTACATACATATGTTACTGTGTCAATACAATATGTGTATTTATCTCCATAAGAAATCTTTCCGGTATGCATGCATGCATTGTGTGTAGAGACTTGTGTGACGTATTATGTGTGTATGTATGTATATAGTTATGTACAATGGCAAAGCATTCCAGTTTGCATGCAGTTGTATGAAATTATAGTTCATAGCATACCAGCCATAGGTAGACAGATAGATTAGTATGCGTAGTACTAAGGATGAGTATATAGGAAGGTGCACTAAAAACTGACCAAAACTTAACCTCATCTTCCTGAATGTTTTATGCATAGTGTTCATGGGGATCAAGGTATTGAATAGACCGGACGTAAGGACAAAGACCTCCATAACAGACAGATTTTGTATTTGCTAAAAAGATGGTTTGTGTGCTGATGACTGTGTAATCAATCCTCTCTCTCTCTCTCTCTCTCTCTCTCTCTCTCTCTCTCTCTGTCTCTCTCCATCTCCTCTCAGCCATTCCCCCACATACCTACCAGACTTTGTCCTCCATGGGACCAGTGAGCCACTCCCCAGCTTCCAGCCCAAATTGGAGAGACACCTGGCCAGCATGGTCAAGGTACGTACGTTGGCTCTCATGCAGTCATGTGTGTCTGCTTTGGATGTGTGTAAAGCTCCGTACTACTGCAGGGTTTAACCTAAGAGGGTGGGTGACTTACCACAATTGCTACACATTCACTCCCAACATGAATTTTTACCCTGCTTTCCCATCATATTTTCTACATACACATACATGTATATTCTAGCTACATAGCATTGACGTGGCATATGTTCTGACCAAATTGATGTTTGTATATAGGTTTATTCTGTGCACTATATACTTCTGCTCTGATTGCCTACCAAGCATTGGTTGAGGATAGTGTACCAGGTTTTCCTTTGCCTTGCTACAGTACCTCGTTTGACACATGTTGTGTATACTGTACCTCCACTGTGATTGACACATGTACCGCACATGGTCTCTCTCCGCTGTTCCCTGCAGCATTCGACGGTGGACGAGCCAGTGGAACATGGAGTGGCCATCATTGCCGACACGGACAACTGGACCTGCAGACTCATGGTAGCCAGCAAGGACTCCCAGACCAAGTCAGTTAAAACTCCAGTATCTTCGCTCTCTTCCATGCGCTTATACAGTACCTATCACAATTCACTAGTAATAGCATCACTACATTAATTCTTGTGCAAGCAAGTCATACATCATGCTCCATGTTATGTTCGTGCATGTGGACTGTCAAGTGGCAGTCAGCCTAGAAAGAAAATTGAAGTCAAATCACACAGTTCATATGACTTGTACAGTGTGTAGGTGTACAACCACTCACTTCACTCGCCATAGTTACACAGGCACCCTCTCAGCACCCCTCAAACATGGTTGAAAAGTATTACGTAAAACAGTGGACACATGTTAACATTCTCTTTTTTCTCCCCTTCCTCCTCTCTCTCCTCCTCCCTTCCTCCTCCCCTCCCTCCTCTCTCTCTCCTGAAACACCCAGTGACGTGGATCTGAGCATCTCTCCGGTAAAGTTGTCTCGATACGTCAGACTAATGATGGCCTCGTTCAGAGGTCTCTGGGAGATGAGGATGCCTCCAGACTTTGTGAGTCACATTCTCTTACTCCACACATCATTTTCCTTGGCTCGTGTGTAACACATGACATTGTTCTGTAGTGGATATCCACTAGTGATAAATCCTCCTGACACTCTGAATAAAGGACACACTTTGAGGCCCCAAACTCTATGATTATAGTAACACATCATTGTTCTGTAGTGGATATCCACTAGTGATAAATCCTCCTGACACTCTGAATAAAGGACACACTTTGAGGCCCCAAACTCTATGATTATAGTAACACATCATTGTTCTGTAGTGGATATCCACTAGTGATAAATCCTCCTGACACTCTGAATAAAGGACACACTTTGAGGCCCCAAACTCTATGATTATAGTAACACATCATTGTTCTGTAGTGGATATGTATATCCACTAGTGATAAATCCTCCTGACACTCTGAATAAAGGACACACTTTGAGGCCCCAAACTCTATGATTATAGTAACACATCATTGTTCTGTAGTGGATATGTATATCCACTAGTGATAAATCCTCCTGACACTCTGAATAAAGGACACACTTTGAGGCCCCAAACTCTATAATATGTATGTGTTTCACCTCTAAAGAGAGGGAAGCCTGTACAAACTGCCTGGTGCTAAGTTTTATTTTCAGAGGTTCAGTCGTACTACCAACGCATAGTCTTTGTTTCCAACTGCTGTTCAGGCTCGCTTCACTTGCCCTCCAAACAATTTACACATCAACAATAATGTTTTTCTTGTCCCACTTTCCCTTCATTACCTCTCATTTATTCCCCTCACATCCCTTCCCCTCGCCCCTCCCCCCACCTGTCCTGCAGTGCCTGTCTCACCTGGAAGACAGGTTATTAGAGCTGAACGAGAGGGGTCTCCTCCTCGCCAACAACCTCATGGACCATGGCAACGATGTTGACCTCAGCGAAGTCTTGCCTGCCACCTTCAAGGGATTGAGGTACATCTTTGGGTGGTGCAGTATATAGTTGTGTCATGTATAATACATAAACATACATACGGTAGGAAACAGTATGTACACACACATATATGTGTAGTAGGAAAGAGCGATGTACACACATACACATTATAGGAAACGGAGAAAAAATAGACCAGTAAACCGAACCAACCAAAATATAACTTACTTTTCTTGGCCAATGATTCCACCTATATACTTGCTTACCACGCTGTTGCCCTATGCCAAGGAAAAAGCATTTATAGTACGAACAATTCGTGTGAATACAAGCAGGACAATAATACGTACTCATGTACTACTACACAGTATGTACTTTGTGAACACGAGCTGGGAAAGAACTTGTAATGTGCTCTTGTGATGTAATACAGCAACTGTACCTCCTCCTCCTCCTCATGCAGTATAAGGGACACGGATGAAACTCTGCTGCTATCACTGGCTGGGGTCCACTGCCCGGACCCTGACCTCACCGCAAGACTCAACTACACCACCATGAGGAGAACACTCACCACTCGCAAATGATTACCTCATCGGAAATAGCTTATCCATTACATCATCGTGATGTCGTGGACATTACATCACCTTTATGTCACTGGTGTGATATAATCTCTGCCATAATCATCATTGTGCCGTGCCCCCTCAAATTCAATTAGTAAAAAAAATTTTTATAACCCACAATGCCTAGGAGTCAGTCTATAGCTGGAGATCACTTGTCATTGTACAGCATTACATCATTGTTATTGCTCATTGTTGTGTCTCTGGCCTTATCATTGTTGTAACACCGTCTTTATTTGTAATGTGTCATGGCTAGTATTATCGTTGAGAATTGGTTAACGTTTTTGTATCATTATTTTTGTGGAGCTATCTTTGTGTGTGCAATTATTAGAATACTCATGTCAGTGATGGTATATAGCTATTATGATTTTGAACAAAGATATTCCCATCTTGTTGTAACAGGCAACACGAACTTAACATAATTCGCGAGCGAGAGCGAGCCAACCTAGTCGTTCGTTCGAGCGGAATTTTCTGTGTATATATATGCGTTCGTACGTCGTGTAAGTGCGCATGCGCGTCTTTGTACGCGCTTCTTTTTATCCGAAATTATTTCAACTCCTCCATTCGACGGGAACCTTCGGTGACTGACCGAAGCTGTATATAGCTACCTCTTCCCAATCTTCATGGTTCCAAGGTGCAACTTGCATAATACGCTAGGATTGCTCGTGCACATACTGCTGCATGCCAGTTGCCAGGTGGACCACGACTGACGAGCTGAAAGCGTAAGGTAAGTACCGTTCTGCTCACCTGCTCACCGTTCTGGCAATATACAGTACGCATGTAACGGCGACAGGTAGATCTGTCTTGCTTCACGAAAAGATAGCTGTGCGCTGACGGCACGTTATGCAGCCCGAACATCGCGGTCAAATCCCAAGTTGGGTCGCTCCCGCTCGCCAACAATGTTCAACATTTCCACTAGTTATATACTAGTTATGGGCTAACAGCCCTGGCAAACAATAATAATAGCAGAAAATGTTGCATAGTTTTGGCCAAACGAGCGTGGGCAGTTCAACAATCCACTGTATGTGCTCTGCAATTATTATGGTTTGCTATTGATATCGCCCTCAGAACTTGTTACACCATAGGCTGGGTTAGTTATTAGCTCTTCAATGTAGACATTTCCTTCTGGGTCACCATAGGCCGGGGTATCATCATTTCTTCCACGGTCACCATAGGCTGGGTTATCTAGTAGATCTTCATTTCCTCCTGGGTCACCATAGGCCGCGGGGGTATCTAGGAGATCTTCATAGGCTGGGTTATCATCATTTCTTCCACGGTCACCATAGGCTGGGTTATCTAGTAGATCTTCATTTCCTCCTGGGTCACCATAGGCCGCGGGGGTATCTAGGAGATCTTCATAGGCTGGGTTATCATCATTTCTTCCACAGTCACCATAGGCCGTATTATATAGCAGATCTTCATTTCCTCCTGGGTCACCATAGGCCGCGCTATCATCCCCTTTTGAAGGGTCACCATAGGCTAGGTTATCTAGTAGATCTTCATTACTTGATGGATCAGCATAGACTGGATTGTCTATTAGATTTCCCTTGGAACTGTTTCTTGCAGATTGCCCCTGACCTTGTTCATCTTTGGCTCTGCCGCTCTCCAAGTCTCTAAAATGCAGTGTCCTCTCCTTGCCTGGACGACTGGAGTTCCTGGAACATGTGGAACCCACTCCTGTTCTTTTGCTGTTCACTGCAACTTTTTCGTATCTTCTACCTTCAGAGAAAGTTCTGCAGAGAGAGAGAGAGAGAGAGAGATGATCGTATAGTTTGCAATTCATGTGTATATAGGATCACATAGTGTGTTCCACAAACTGAGGCAACCCTTTGCCCCCATGCTCATTATGTTGCCCTGGTAGCTTAGTGGGCAGAGCAGACTGTCATGGGTTTCAAATTCCACCCAGGACAGCTCTTTATCTTGGTCTATTTGGGTATTTCAAAAGTTTTTTGCCAACATGCCACCTATAATACTGAATAATTATACACTAGTAGAAGATAGAGTTGTTCTCGGTGAAGTTATTTTTGCCATGTGACTTAATTAATGTAGTTGTAGGTAATACCTGATGATCCTATAAGTGATGAAAGCTGCAGAGAGGGCACCTCCAAGGAGACCAACTATGACACCACTGACTCCAAATGCAGCACCGTAAGCCACAGCCGATGAATCTTGAGACTCACATTCTTGCTCCCTCCCAGCCACACCTGCAGGGAAAAAGTGTAAGCTTCAGGTGGGTATATACCCTCGGGAAATCAGGGAATGAGGCTAGCTTTACACTTGCCTTGTATCCATACATAAGAGACAAATGTAAACATGCAATGACTCATGCACCCAGTGGGCTTTGAGAATGTATATGGCAACAGAAACTGTGAGTAAAAGCATGGACCCAGCTGTTTCACTCGCCTCAGGTCACGGTTATGGAAGATGCAAAAGAAATACACCTGTCCAAAAAGGCATGGCCCCCAGGATGTTAGTAAACACATCTAATGCTGGAATGTCTACAGAACTCTTAACTAGCAGGAAAGAGCCCTCATTAGGACAGAAAACAAAGTAAGTAATAAAGCATGTGAATATATACTAGGAAACCTCTGAAAAAGAACCCTCCAAACAAAGACACCCCTTATAAGGGACACATGGTTCTGCTATAATTATTATACTACCTAAGAATAAGGACACCTCTGAATGAAGGACATTTTCCATGTCCCAGAAGGTGTCCCTTATTCACATGTTTCACTGCAGTATCCCTTACTCAGTGTCTGCAGCAGGGGAAGACTTCTCTCTCCCTCCACTGGCTGTCCAGCCACACTGACCGTAGCAAACACCTGGAACTGGTAGCTGGTGTCTGGAGTCAGGCCAGTAACGATGGCTGATGTGGAGGACCCAGGGAATACTACCTTCACCTCTGTAGCCTCAGAACTGGTGGGTATTCGAGTGTAGACAACTGTGTAGTTGGCTATGTCAAAGTCAGGGATGACCAGAGAGTTCCAGTAGAGAGAGACTGATGTGTCACTTAGTGCAATGGCCACTCTTACCTCAACTGAAGCTGCAGTAACATGTCACAATTATTGTGTGAAAGTGAATACGAAAACCAGGCATTAAAAGTCGTAATGGAGTATAGTAATACAGTGGAACCTCCGAGTAATGGACAAGTTTGGACAAGGCATTTTACACCATCAGGTTTTGCAAACCTTCCATGCCTGATTTATCACATAGCTAATATTGTCATGACTCATTATTCATGCCTATGATGGCAAGTGCAGTCCATTGTGGTATACATAGCACAAATGGCTCAAAAGGATATCCATCCCCGGCAACTAAGGAACGTGTAGGGAAAACATAATGAGAAACGTGCATTCATGTATATATATGGATTTAGTGCAGATGATACCTAATATGGTTACCGTTGCAGTAGTATGTACACTGCACGAGGACACTGTATTGTTCCTCAAATGGTATTTGAGTTTAAACAATCATTTAGAGTAGCACACACTCCTTATGTAGTACAATACTCACGGGGCCTGGTTAAGGTAGTAGCAGTGATGGCTGTAGGAGCACCTGGACCTGCTGCAGTGAAGGCCACCACTGTCAGATTCACCTGTGACCCCATATCATAGCTGTCTGGTGTTCTGAAACTGTTCTGTGAGCCCAGTATTGTACTGGTGGAAGATGATCCACTGGATGCGTATTGTATGCTGTAGTCTGTGATGATTCCATTGGGTGCCTGCGGCTCTCTCCACGTGTAGCAGATTTTGAAGAACGAGGGAATCGCAGTAAGTGAAGCTACTGGACCTGGGACTAAAGAGGGAGATGAGGATTGGGAGCAAAAGAAAGAGAAAGAAAAAAGGGAGATAAAGAAAGAGAGAGAGAAAAGAAAAGGTAAACAATGGTGGAGAGAAGCAAGAGAAAGTGCAGCATTTAAAAAGATGTCTTTAAAAGGCAGTGTCTCAATTAATTCTGCTTGGCTCATTACTCTCGGTGCTTTTTTATGGCCCTGTGCTATTCTGCTCCATTACCGTCTTCTCTAGTTTGGACTGCCTTGGGGTTGCTAAACAGCCCGACGTCACCTTTCTCATTGACTGCTGCCACTTGCACGTAGTACGCAGTGAATGGAGATAGTCCAGCTATTGAAATGTCCCCTCCTGAAGACCTGTCACCAGGTTTATCAACAGTCTGTACTGTCCCATTGGGCCCTGCTCTGTACTGGACTCGGTACTTTACAATGAGGCCATTGGCAGTTCTACAGATTTTTATTCGCCCCCACTGGACAAACACAGCCGTGGAGTTGAGAGCTAAAACTGTCACGTCCCATGGGAGCTGTTGAAGCACCTGAAAAGAGAAATTTAGGAGCAATTATTCTCATTCTACATCGATGCAGCAGTGTATACTTCACACTGGGGGCTAAATTTGCAATTATAACAACATGGCTTCCACATTTAGTTTAAAAACTTGCTTGATTAGTTCAAAAACACTGAATATGAATCTTGCTCACCAATCTGTTGGGTGGTGTAGAGAACAGTGTCACTGGGAGTGCTGTCTCCAAAGGCATCGCTCGCAGCCACTACGACCACAGTATAAGTGGTGAATGCTCTCAACATGTTAGTGGTACTGCTATCGACGGCAGCCCCCACTGGAACACTAGCAGTCACCCTATCTCCAGCTCCACTGATGGCATTGACAACCAGAGAGGCCATGTGGGTTGACATGGCACATAGACCCTCCTGTCCCTCTCCCATCAGGAGAGTGAAGGTGACTGTGTATGTGTCAGCACCTTCCTCTACATCCCAAGACACGGTCACTGACAGTGGCTCCTCACCCCGTCCCACTGTCACTCCCATAAGAGAACCTGCAGCACCGAGAAAAGAAAAATAATGAGAATACATGGCTATATAGCCATGAATTATAAAGAGCTCGTATCAAGCTAAAAATGATCAGATCTGATCCATGGGGGAATAGGTATCTATTTCCAAAGTTCGAACGAGATCATGCTGCTATATAAATTGTTTCCACGGACGAGTGATCATTACGACAGGCCGCTTTACTTTCAAGCGAAGCATGGTGCACAGCAGGTAGCTAGCTAGCATAGCGAAACACCATGAACATCATGAGGGAATCATAGTTCGAACGAGATCGCGCTGCATGGTGATCATCTTTTTGCAACTCGAGAAGATGCACGCGGAGCACTGTCCACCACCGCGATCCATCCACCGTCGCTCGCGCACTGCGCACGCTGAACGTACCTTGAGCAAGCGCAGCAATCCAGCTTAGAAGCAGACCAGCAATCAGACCAAGTTTGAGGAATCCCATCGTCGTTTATGTTTATCCTTCCTGGCAATAACTTTCTGTCACCTCAGCCCCGGTTTATAAAACACTAGCGCGCGCTGACGTAGCGGAAAACGCGTGAGGGCAGTTCCGGAATTGTACAATCATAGTACAATAGTAAACACGTGACTTGTTTGAGATCAGAAGTCACAGAAAGAAACACAGAGCTCCCATAATATTTAAAACAATATTAACCAAATGACTATAGTTTGAGATTGAGAAGTCACAGAAATTGTTTAGTTGTGACAGGGAAGGCTGGTCCATAGGTGGAAGTAAGGAGAACTTTCCGTATAAATGAAGCTGCAGCAAAGGAAAAGATATCACTCCATGTGGTAATAAACGTCGACTGATCTGTTACATTTTGGGACATTCCCGTGATGAGAGAGGACACCCCTCAATAAACTGGTGATGTTCTCAATGATGTCTTCATCAGGGAAGTCCAACTGCATAAAGATCATGTTGACATTGCAACATAGCTACCGAGCTACCTATTATAATAGGTAACAAATTTTTGGTCTGGGAAGATAGTTATAGAAGTGTATAATATTTTTGTGTTGTGCTTATTTGTGTACTTAACCCTTTGGGCGCAATTTACATATAATGCACAGAGCCTCCATAAGCGCATAAGAATTTATATATGGCTATAATATATACTAGGCGCTAATATGTCAATTTCTGCTTATTTAAGGAGACACCTATGGCACCCAAAGGGTTAACATTGACAAGCACAAAAACAATTCACTACCTGACACCTTTATAAGTACACTCACCACTATTACAGCAAACAATACTCATGTGAGGTTGTAAAAACCATGCCTTTGTTTGCCAATAGAACGTAAAAGGTATGACACTCTATTATTCCACACACAATGATTGCACATTTATGTGGAGTTAATTGCATACCTTTCCCACCGGGACAAGGATATTACCAACTTTGTCACTCCGGAACTCCTTCCTCGTCTTGAACTGTCTCACCGCCTCTGGTATGGAGTCCTCTCCGACCACGGTCCCTGGGGAGATACGCAACTACGGCACTAGTATAGCTACTGTATGACCCGTCTGTTGGTGAATATCTTTATAATGGAAGAAAGAACACTAACTATAGAAGTAGTATAATCAGGCCAGAAAAGAATAAAGTTTGATACTACTTCAAAAATCATAATTGTACGTGCCATAATACCAGGTATGTATAAAATATTTGCGGAGTGGAGCTTATTAAAGGAAGACATTGAACGGAATTTCCTCCTCTGGATAATGTTACATACTATACGTGATGTGTATTTCTCAGGCTAAGAGCAATGGTTATGGACTGATAGATTAATGACAATGCTTTCAGCTATAATTATATACACCAGTAAATAGTGCTAGGATTGATGCGTATTATGCTCCTCACGACTAGTGTCATGTACGTATGTACCTCTTCTGATGTTGGGCATTTTTGACTTTAGTTTCCTCTGCAGAGGTTTGAACCCGTCCAACATGGAGGGTGTGGTCAGACAGATGTCAAAGTTCAAGGTTTCCTCCTCCAACTGTATGCATCCACATTGACACACACCGTTTATTGCGATAATAATGCCTTAACATACTGACAGCCTATCAAGTATATAGGGATACCCACAGGGGGAGAGAGTCAATCCTCAGTGGCAGCAGGTTCATCTTATCAGTATATTATTATACTTAAGTGTAGAGCGATCTCGTTTTTCTAGCATTATTCCCATACATTTATAGAGGTACTAAAATTTTAGAAAGCATTGCGTTGAGAATGATTATGGCTCAAATCTTCAGCAGTCTTGACAAAACACAGTAGCTACTAGGTCAGCAGGTGAGTCATTGATGGTTACATACCTCGTTGAAAATCTCTTCAGCTCCTACAATATCGGCCCCTGCCTTCAGAGCTGCTTCATGATATGAACTCTGGGTACACGAGAGGAGGATGAACACTGCTCTGAGCATTATTGTTCTGACCTCTATAACAAACAGTATGATTGTTTCCTGGCCAAATGTGTGCGGCAGTACCACTGGTCCCTTGAACGGATCCCTCACTTTGTCCTGAAGGAATAAGAAAATGACATTAATATTAGCTGTGAGATGAATCATTGAAGAATGGTAGAAATACCACAAAACAAATGGCCAGAGTTGTCATGTAATGCACTGGACTTCTAGTCGCAGCGCCCGAGTTCGCGACTCCCAACAGAAGTCAGTTTTCTCTCTTTCTCTCTTTCTCTCCTAAACCGTGTACTTCTAGTTACCATTCTTTTTCAGGAAAATGGTGACAGTGCTCGCTGCACGTTCACTGATTCCGTGCTCACCTTTTTGAGGGTCATGTCGACCTTGATATTGACCTCCACAGTCTCCGGTTTGGTCGCCATGGAGTAGGCTCTCAGAGCTCGCAGGGCCTCGCTCGTCTCCACCTCCTCCTCCTTCCTTCGACCCAGGATGAAGACCCTAGACCCAGCGGCTCTCCCGTTCACCCTCGAGGCGGGTGAGGAAGGAGGTTCAGAGGCATGCTGCTGGAGCCTGGGCAATGAAGAGGCGGACGGAACGACGGTAGGGGAGAGAAAGGACGCAGCTGAGGCGGAGAATGAATTGTAGAGACAGCGACAGCGCAACATCTCAGCTAAAAGGTCAAAGGTCATGAAATTGCCACGTGCTCAGCACACGCATAGCTGGGGGGTGCGGCTACTGATGAGAAAGAGGCTGCGGCTCCGGGATCTGGAATCCGTGATCAATGACAAAGGAGTTATAGGGTAGGACGTTTGGCGGTGTATATGTACATTAGGGCATAGTAGTGCTAATCACGGCTGTAATCATTCCACACACGTTCTAGCAGTAACCTAAGAGTGCAGCGGCGAGGAAGCTAGTGCATAGTGAGCGGACGCTCTGGTTTACCCGCTTGTTGTATATACCGGTTTGGCAGGGAAAGTCCCTAGGGATTCCCCTTGGTCTGTCCCTTCCTTTGTTGAAGACATCGGGGTTATGGTTTGTTTTTTTAGCTAGTCCGAGGCCAATATGGCGGCAGTGATAACAGGAAGAGACCAGGCCTTGGTAGAGAGGCATCTCCGCTCTGTGGCTCCCTCTTGGTTCGAGATAGGAATCAGACTCCACCTGTCGGTGTCAGTGTTGGAGACCATAGACATGGAGTATGGCAGTGCGGAGGAGAAATTGTCGGCTGTGGTGAGGGAATGGCTGAGGGTGGCAGGGAGAGAGGCTAACTGGAAGCCACTGATCCAAGTTCTCCGGTCCTCTGGTCACTCAACACTGGCCAGCAAGCTAGAGGCTCAGTACTCCTCTACCACTGCTACTGTACTTGACAGAGGAAATGGCCAATCTTCTAAACTTGGGCTCCAACGCTCTTCCTCTACTACTGCACCGGTCAAAGGAAATGGTCAGACTCACCAGTGCTGTGGTTAGCGTTCTATTCGATGTACGTATGTGTACTACTGCCTCAGGTGGTAGACCAAAGTTGGCTCAGCTTGTTCCCATCCCTCTGTCGTCAAGTCAGTGTAGAGAGTTGGCAGAACACCTCAATTTTTCAGTAAGTGGTAGCTACATTGCACTAAAGTTTTTTTTGGCGAGTAGAAGTGGCGAGCAGCCAGTGAACCAAAAAAGCGAGATTTCCCCTTTTATTATCTAGCAGTTTATAATGGGCCGACTAAACATTTCAGGTTCTACGTTTTATTATCTCTAATCTGGCTAGACTTGCTCCCACTTGCATGCACCTAGACTGCAGAGTGTCGTGGGTTCAAATCCCATCCAGGGCAGCTCCTCTGTTTTCCTTGGGTTTAGTTGACTTGTTTGCTTTGCCTTGCCTTTCTACCTCACTCTGTTGTCGGACACATGCATCAGTAGTAACGTACTTATTAACTACTACCATGTCTAGGAGTCAGACGTAGTAAACATAGAGATAAAGAGCCATGGGAACGAAAACAAGCTAAAGAGAGCTCTGTTCAAGGCCTGGCTGGACAGAGAAGAAGAGGCATCGTGGAGTCATGTGCTGGAGGCTCTTGATAGAGTCAGCTCCTCTCTCAAGGATAAGGTTATGGACACTTACCTCGGAGATCAGCAGTTGAGATTGGTCAGTTGGTCAAATGTATGTGTAATATTGATGTAAGTAAGGTATAATCTGTTTGGTGGTTAATTAGGAATTAGTATGTAAAGAATTTAGCGAATATGTGTAAGAAAACCCTGCAGGAATTTAGTTTCCTGTCTGTTACTCACTCATGGAGTTCCAAACCACCCACAAAAATATTTGAGGCTGTTTGTAATAACAACACCCACTGAAGATCACCACTGATCATGAATACTATGATGATAGCATCTACTGAATGCTATATACAAGCTATTTGCTTTCCCAAGTTTCCATTATTCAGAGGTCTTTATTCCCAATGCACTATGGGACAGAACAACATTATTGTTCTTTGAAGAGAAGTGTCCTATATTCAGAGTTGAGGTTACACTGTGTACCAAGTACCTACCGCACCTAGTGATTATGTGCTGTTTACTCTCCTCTCTATGCCCCAGAAGTCTAGCACAACTGAGCATGTCGTGGATGAGAAGGACTCGCCGCAGTCCAGCGGACCTCGCCCAGTCACCATGCCGCTCGCCACAACAACCAGAACATCTCCCCTCCGTTCCTCCTCCTCCTCGTACCACTCTGCCAGTAACTACGACGAACCAGAGGATCACAGTACGCTCCCTCCCTACCATGCCAACGCCGAGCCACCGGTGCCCCGGACACTGGTCAAAACTGTCAGACGGAAGGAGACCCCCTCTTCCTTCTCCTCCTCCCATGGCTCCTCACGCTCCTCCAAGGGAGGTTACAATCCTCGAAACTCGTCTGATGTCCCCGGCGAGTTGACCAGTCGACACCACCTTACCTCGTTACGAACCCCAACCACAGGGAGTCCGCGGTCGACTCTCGCTACAGCAGGGAGTGAAACTGCCACCAGCTCGGGTAGAGCCTCCCCCGATGAGGCTCTGGTTCAGGAGTTCTTAGAGGGCGTGAAGGCATGGAAGATCGAGGCTGTGGAGCGAGTGTTGGTCCAGGATAGAGGAGTCGATGTCGATATGGTGGTCAAGGAAAAGGTATCACACCATTTTGCATAAATCACATCAATAATTGCCGAGCGTGTTAGCGTGAGGCAACTACTCTGGGTTGTATTCTCGCGATATGCGTACGTACGTACGTGTCGTCAGGCTTAAGAATGTCAATTAGTCACGCTTAGGAATGTCACCTTCCGTCATTTGTAGGAAGTCTAGCTTCCGCCGTGCGCGCAGATCCGTAGGAAGTCTGGCTTCGCGCTGTCAGTAGAGCGCGCGCACGAGCGGCCCCAGTCGGAGTGTTTACGCATTGGCTGGCAGGCGTGAGGCAAAATATGCGTGTGCGCATTCCTAGTTACAACACTATGTGTCATTGTGCTTGTATGCGTGGAAAGCTGAGGCACTTTGGGTAGTTTAACATTACACATAAAGCACTGAGCGCTATATCTCCACCCTACTATATACTTTGACATGTAGTGTACAGCATCTTGCACTCCTTTATAGCTCAAAGGTCAGTTTTACCTAAACAACATTGGGTTTCCCTGTAGCCCTCATCCTTGTTTGTCTTATCCAGGATAGGAGGTCAGCTCTAATGTTAGCATCAGTTGCGGACCATCCACCAATGGTTAGGGTACTTCTAAAACACAAGGCCTCAACTCAAGCCAAGGATAAAGTCAGTCCAATCTCTTACTCCGCTGGAGAGGTGACTCCACTGGATTGTATCTGTTTCACAGAACGGCTTCACGGCTCTATATTTAGCCTGCAGTCATGGAAACTATGAAATTATGAAGCTCCTTGTGGAGCACTTTGCTGACGTAAATGCCAGAGCAAATGTGAGTTACCAAGACCTTGTCTTCAGTGATTGTTATTATGTTAAATGGGTGTAGCTACTGTAGGTTTTAACCATTTTTGTTCAATGTGAAGGTCTGAACCACATACGTATAAAGTTGAGTTTTTGTTGTAGGATGCCACTCCTATGCTACTGGTTCCTGCTCAGAAGGGATTCTCCATGGTAACACAGTACCTGCTGGAGAATGGAGCGAACCCCAACCTGGCTGACAAGGTTAGTGTATTGTAGAGGTGTATGTACGTATATGCTGTACGCAGATGCACTGCAGGTATTTGCCTACTAAGGGAAAGTAAGTGAGTGTTTATATCAGTAAATGCGTTAGTAAACATTGCCTTGACATGTGACTGTAACTTGATATAATACGTGACAGTTGATAGGGGCTCCAAATTTCCGAACTTGGTCATACATGGTTATAATGCCACAGGATGGGATCACACCGTTGATGGCTGCCTCCAAGAAAGGCCAGAGGGATGTGGTGAAAGTTCTGCTTGCCAATGGAGCTGATGTTACCATTGTCAGCGTCAGGGTATGTAATGTACACTCCCAATGTACAATCTATGCAGTGTTCTATCTATTCAGTGTTCTATTCAGTGGTGTTTGTTTTTTAGACTTCCCGCACTGCCCTGCAAGAGGCCATTGACAATGATCACAAAGAAATTGTGCCTTTGCTCATAGAAGCAACAAAGAAAGCCAAGGAAAAGGTACGTAATGTGGTAGCCAGTATTATTATAATGGGCTAAATTTAGAAACTGTTACAAAAACTGAACCTTAATTGCATTCTTGAACCCTAGTAAAATTAGCCCTCATGTACTGCCACATTCCCTCTGACATTATGCTTGGAAATTTACTTTTAGAATCAGAAGCTGTTTACGTGTAAGTCAGCGGAGGAGGCAAGGGAGCTGGTTAAAGACAACGCCAAGGTGGACGAGAGGCGAGGCGACCAAGCTACACCTCTTATTGTCCAGGTAGCCGTGGGAGGGTATCTTCCATTATTCTCTTCAGACACTGCTTTATGTGTAGATTTATTATGCTACCTGTTGTGTAGTGTACATGTGGTATTGTTAAATGAATTAGCTTAGGCCCCAAACTTGCTCAGACAACGATAATATAGATCATCTCAGTATGCGCATTCTCCCTGTTCAACAATATCTCGTTATTATGCTGTGCAGGTCCAAAGTGGGAACGAGGAAGTTGTGAAGGAACTGCTGGGTTTGGGAGCCAACATCGACCTGCAAGATGATGTGAGGGACACTAGCAGCCTTGGGAGCCATGCATACATACATAGCACTATGTGTTTATGCCTTACTGTTGTTACGTAGGAAGGAGAATCGGCTCTAATGAAGGCGTGTGCAGAGGGGAACTACAGTATGGTGCATATCATTGTCTCCCACAGAGCAATTCTGGACCTCAAGAGCAAGGTCTGGCTCAGAAACAAAACCTATTGTCACTGTGTGCATTACCTGTGTAAACTCTGGCTTGTAACAACTATTTATTGGCATGTAATAGGATAGGCTTGAGAATAGTATGTAATACTTGGCACTGTTAAGTGCTTTTTGCAGTACATAAAACAGTGCAGCTAGTGCCCTATTCAGAGTCTGTATAATTAATTAAAATGTTCTGTCACTGGTTGTGGCTAGGGAGGAGACACAGCAGTCGTGTATGCAGTGAGAGGGAACCACATGGCAATAGTGAGAGAACTTCTCCTGTCTGGGGCTGACCCTACCATCAGAAACAAAGTATGAGACAATTGTGCATATGAATCAGGAAACGAGAGGCTAGAGCTCGTTTGCTCCCCTGCAGAATGGGCAGACGGCCCTGGAGCTAGCTGAAGAGCTGGAGAGTAAGGTGATGGTGGAAGAGATAAAGAAACACACTGCCATTGCCGACAGCAAAGTATGCTGTGTAATAATACTGTGAACTATTTCTATTAATTTCCTCCTCCGTGTAGGACCCCTTCATCAACCTGCTATCAGGATACCTGGAGAAAGTCACAATGAAACCGACGACTGTAAGCCTAACCCATACACAAGTAAACAAAGAGATATCGAGTAGGACTATGAACATGCATGGGTTACAGTACTTGGTGCGTATTTCTCTATCTGTGTGTCCATCCATCTATGGTATGTGTAAACCGCGAACTAGAAAGGCAAAGGCACAAAAAAGTCAACTACACCCAGGACAGCTTTTTTTTCCAACGAAAAAAGAAGAACCATGACACTCTGCAGTCTAGGCTGTACCAACTGTGCTGCTGGCAGGGTCTTAACACGTTGCACGCGTTTATTGCGTATGTAGCGTGGCGTTCTCTCGCAGTTCAAACCGACAGGGGTTCTGCTCAAAATATTATGGAAGCTGCTCAATGATAATGCATGGTGCTTTTATAAGATAGAGCTAGGTGCGGATCGGGGCTGTGGTGTAGTGGTTACAAGACAACGAGTGTGTTTGTGACAGTAAAACATGACAGTGGTTGCGAAGATGTGGACAACCTGTGCCAGAGTTCCTACACGTACACACCCGCAACGTTTTCTACGCGGAATTATTTTTAAATTGCGCGTGCGCGCGCGCACACACCCCTTTATTATGTAATTTACGTGGCCACTATAGTGGCCCTCCGCGTACCGCGGAGAAAGATTAACGGCCATTATACTGGCCTTCCGCGCGCAACGAGTACAACACAAAGGCATATATACCATGTTCTTAGTGAGTAGTACACATCATATCTTGGAAGTCAAATCTCTGTAATTGACCAATAAATATTATACTGTGCCAAGGTAAGTATTATTAACCCTCGGCATGCATGCACAGCGAGGGTTACAGTACTTGGTCTGTCTGTCTGTCAGCAGCTATTCTCGCACTATACAGGCTACGAGGCGCAATACCAACGTCTTCAGAACTATGCAAGCCTAAAAAAGAATTAAGTGATTTTCCTGAATCCTGAAATGACTGCGCTCGAGAGATATGGTGTGAAAACAAGCAAAATAACCCAATATGCATAATCACACTGGGTTTACTGCGACCTAATATACTCGCTCTGTGTACTTTGGAGGCTCAAGAAGTCACAACTAATGGCGTGTATCGACTCCCGCATGCTATCCACTAGTGTAGCTAGCCCGTGTCCGACTCTCTAGTGTGGAAACCATGAGTAAACGCATACTATATAGCCCAGCCCATCAATTACCGCGCATGCGCTGTGCGCCGAGGGTTTGCACTTCAGTGCTTTTCATTTGTGTGGCATTCTGTAGGTCACAAATGGTGGTAGTAAGGAGCCAAGTGTGTGTGGGTCAGATAGCTCCCACCAGAAGTCAGCCGAGGGGCCGGAGGATGAGGAGAGCCCCCTCACAGACCAGCTGAACAAGGCCTGGAAGAGGATTGCTGACCTGGAGACCAGAGTTCACGACCTCACCCTCCAGAGCACAATTGTCAGTTTACAACAATGTCTTACCAGAAGTCATGCAATAGTGCAGGCAATTTCCCACTGGGGTTAACATTACTAGTGGTAAAGGCTGGATTACCCTACCAATTTACCAACCACTCACATAGAAATCAGGATTGTGCATTTATGTTGATTGTAAAGTGGCACCACATCGTAGGCGCACACTTGTGTATATGCCAAAAATACCTGTTCAGTGCAGGACTAGTGTGTCCTCTGCAGGAGATAACAGATGACACAGACCTGAGTTTCTACGACAAGAAGAGACTGGAGGCAGAGTACAGGAAACTGAAGGAGCTGAAACACAAGGCAGAGCAGTATGCAGTGGAGGCCAAGCAGACGGCTCAGCGTCTCAGTGCAGAGAATTTCAAGTTGAAGGAGGACCTGAGTCGGGAACAGCACTTTAATGAACTGGAGAGGAAGAACTTTCTGCGGGACATGGAGGCAAAGATGGGGCAGAGGAGGGGGGAGGAGGAGAGGGAGGAGGCCAAGAAGGAAGTGGTGCAGCAGACCATCCACGCAAGGGCTCAGCAACTGGCTACCACCATGATTGCCTCACACTCGGAGTTGAACGGTGCGCTAACACTATATGCTCTATGCGCCACTTGAAATGGCACTCTCTCTACAGCACACTTTAGTGGTGCAGAATTTCACACTATGCAGATTGCACAAGGCAATTATTGCGCACGTATGTGATACCATGTGTGCAGAGCAATTGGCGTGTTTCTATTTGTGCGAACAGGAAACAAAAGCATTGCTAATAATACTCAACTGTACCTTGAAGTCACAACTAAGGGCGTGTATCGACTTTCGCATGCTATCTACTAGCGTGTCAGACTCTCCACCAGCTAGCGTGGACACCATGAGTAAACACATACTCTTGCCAATCCATCAATTAGCGGTACCGCGCATGCGCAGTGCGCTGTGCGCCGATGGTTTGCACTTTTGTCCTTTTCATTTAGAATTTTGTAGCTATGGTGTTGTCTGTATTGCAGTGGAAATTAACTACGAAATGATAAAAGATCTGATACTGAACCAGACGGTCAGAGCTAATCTAGCGCTCTTCATTGTCGCCGGTCTTCCATTCAGTGGGAAGTCCACAGTCCTCAAGAAACTGCTCAATTCAAGTGGTTAGTACATGTTTCTCCCTGTGTATATTATTATATTGGTTGTAGGGCTGTAGTAGTCATTTTCCCAGACTTTCGTGAACATACATAGCTAGTGCATTATTGCAGTTTAGTTCAGTGTATGATAATATTGTGAATGCAATGTTGTGTGCAGCCCAGACCAGTACACAGGAGATGCATGGTCTAACAGAGCTGGAGGCTGCCATTCTCCGCCACGAGGTCCGCAACATCTCGCTTTGGAGTGTCTTCCAGCACCAGCAGCTCCTCCTGGTCACCATATCTCTCCTCAAACTGGCCTTCCAGAAAAACGCCTTTCCCAAGTTCCCTGCCTCACCCGCAGCAAGTTCAAAGGTTTTTGGAGAACCTGATATCGACAGGTGTTTCTCCAAAATCTTCCGGGACTTGCCGGTGGACATGATGAATAACGAGGAAACTCGTTGGATGCTGACAACAGGAGACGTCTCATTTGTCACCGCCTGGGACATTGGGATGAACAAAGCCGTGTTCGATGTCATGGTAATGATTGCTCCGGACTGCGACAGCGCTGTTTTGCTTGACTTCTTCAGCCTCAATCTCGACGCAGACACCATCGACGAAATTCCAAATCTCGGAGACAAGTGTTACAAGGGTCGATACAACAGCAGCAGAAACGACGCGGAGCAGTTGCTGCGTCTGCGCACGAAACTAGAGTATCTCTACTACCCCATGTTTGTCCTCGCCAACCGCCCCTGCGTTCTCGTCGCCACTCACGACGGTCTCCCTGAGGTTCGTGTGAGGGAGAAAAGCGAGCACGTTCTCCGGAAAATCGAAATGCAGTTCCTCTCACGAGATTGTTCGCACTTGCCTCTACCTCATCTGCTCCCAGTTAAGTACGAGAAGAAGGAAGACATATGGGCTCTACGGAGTATCCTGGAGAAAACGATCTCTACTAGTCCTCCGTTCTACGTCCAACTGCCGATGAAGTGGGTATTCCTGCGCACGTATCTCGGGTACACCAGGAAGATGTACATCCCGCTTCCAGAGCTGAAGGCAGTTGCAAAGCATCTCCACATCACGAACGGGGAGGTCATGGACTTCCTCAAACAGTTTGCAAAGTGCGGGAGCGTCATTCATGTCATGGGCCTGTGTCCGGAGTGCTCTGACGAGTTTGTCATTCTCCGAGTTGCCGAATTCCTCAAGGATGTCGAGAAGCTCTACTACATCCAAGAGAATACTGACATCAGGGTTGAGCTAAGGGAGAGAGCAAGGTTGGGGTACATTTCCAGGGAGCTTGCTGATGAGCTGTGGGTGAAATCTTCATCCCACCCACCCCAGAGGAGTGGATTCTTCATCCATGCCCTGCGCAGAATGGGTATTCTCACGGCTCTGAAACAGAGGCCCGGGGAGAAAGCGCCGCAAGAGGAATACTTCATGCCAAGAATGAGACCAAAAGCCTGTAATGATCCACCAGTACAGAGCAGTCTGTTCCTGACCCATGGCACAGTGTTCCCTTTTCCACTCCAATCTGAATTCCTCACTCATTTTAACGAAGTTCTTGACAGTCATTTCCTGTTTGACCCAAGGGAGTGTCTCAACACGCTTCACTTCAAGACACTTGAAGGCGACCGGGATCTCACCTTCCGATTCATGAACAGCTACATGGAAGTCCATGGCACTGGATTCAGCATGAAGCTTCGCGGAATCATCAAGACGGCCTGCATAGAAGTGATGGCGGCAATAAAGCGCCAGCGACCAAAGCTAAACCTCAAATACTCCCTTGCTGCTCTGTGTCCCAACTGGAGCCAGGGGGATGAAAAGCCACATTTTGCCAAGTTTCGCGTTCAGGAGGACGTGGATGATATTTTCTGTTACCGCTGCCTCAGTATGGTGAAGGTCGGTGAGGAGAGCAAGGAGTGGATAAAGGCTACTTACTCTGGACCGAAGAGTCCAGTGCAGAGTGAGGCAGGTAAGAAATTGACAAGTTTTGAGACTGACACTGGTTGCAAAGCAATGCATGCAATAATTCACTATTTGGTCCTCAACTTTCTATATACAGTTTTGTGTAAGCAGTTACTATTGAGCCAGTGGCAACTGAGAGTCAAATTTCACTGAGCGTGTGCCTTTTGCTTTTATACTGGGCGTTTGCAAATCATTGATCTATAGCCTGATTTTTCTACCGTAAGTGGATTAATCAGGCTTATAGACAATAAAGCTTCGGGGAAAGCAAAAGGTCAATGAAACCCGTGTGACCTATACTCAGAGTAATTCCTGCTCGAACATGTAAACTAACCCACAAACTGGTTCTAGCTCTCTCACTTATTGTCATCATCAGATACTATACCCAAGTCAGAGCTGCTGAGAATGGCCGAGACCCTCTCGACTCTCAACTTCGAAGACCTGGTGGTCCTCTCCAAATTGCTGGGTTTCACTGAGCTGCAGGTGAGGGAGAGACTGAGGCACACTTCACGGGGCAAGCTGACTCTGGAGTTGCTGCTGGAGTTCTCGGACAGGACAACCTGCCATGTCCGCAGGAGACTGGGGCAGGTCCTCCTGAACAATGGCCACTGGAGGGAGGCTCTCAAGATATACCCTCAAGGTAGCCTACTATAGATCAGCAACAACTAGCTACATTAGCGGCAACTAATTAACCCTCGGCGCGCATGCGCAGCGAGGGTTTACAGTACTTGGGTCTGTGTGTCTGTGTGTCTGTTACTCTCAATCTCACTTCTCGGGTGTTTGTTCGTCTCACAAAGGATACCACCTACTGAACGGGCAATGAAGGTCAGAAAGTTCGAACGGTTTTCTCTGAAAACGCTCCGTTGCAAAGCTAGAGCGCGAAAAAGCCAATATGCAAATACTCAACGGCTTACTACGGCATGATCGACCCGCGTGCTCTGCGTACCTCGGAGTCACCAGAAGATGCAACGCAGGGCGTGTATCGCCTCTCGCATGCTATCTAGTAGTGTAGTTAGACCGCGTCAGACTCTGCGTGAGCTGGCAAGAGACCACGCGTAACAGCTAAAGCTAAACCCAGCCCATCAATTAGTGGTACGGCGCATGCGTTTACTTACGATTCTGCGTCACAGTTCGCCGAGGGTTTGCACTTCAGTGCTTTTCATTAATTCAGCTTCACTTCCACTCATTTGCTTGAAAAAAGTACGAAAGCTAGGGCAACTTATTATCCACAGTGAAGTTTTCGTTGCATTCTACTGCTACATGGAAGTT